GACATCCGCCAGCTCTCTCAGGACTCTCGGGTGGATACTATCAGGCCCCATAGACTTGTGGGCATCCAGCCGAAGTAGCAGATCCTTGACCCGTTCCTCTTGGATCACAGGAGCTTCGATTTGCTCTCCCTCCCTGCCCTCAGACACCGAAGGCCAGCTCACCTGGGAACTACTGACCTTATTATTAAAGACTGAGGCAAAGAAGGCATTAAGGACCTCAGCCTTGTCCTCATCCCTAGTGACTAACGTACACCCTGTGTCCAGTAGGGGCTGGAGGTGATCTTTAGCCCTCCTTTTGTTATTAATGTATTTATAAAAAGACTTTTTGTTGTCCCTTACGGAGCAGGCTAGTCTAAGTTCTAGTTGGGCTTTTGCCCCTCTGATTGTCTCCCCACATGCCCTAACTTCCTCCCTGTATTGATTCCTGGATGCCTGCCCATTCTTCCAAGACTTATAGACATTCCTTTTTCTTTTGAGATGTTCCCAAATCTCCTTTGTCATCCAAGCTGGTTTTCTACCCCGGCGGCTCGAATTCCGGCACACAGGGACAGCTCACTCCTGTGCCTATATTCTACGTATATAGATACGTACAATGCAACTCTGATGATGCTACTCATTCAGTGAGTGCAATTTAGCTGTTAAATTAGTTTACACAGTTATGGAAATTTCCCAAGGGGAAGATGCTAACAAAATAAGTAAGTTTACCTGAACATTGCAGGAAAAGTGTATGGTCTCAGATCTAAACTTGCTTACAGTAGTGTACTGCAACTAACGCTAGTGGAAAAGTCATTCTGAAATTAAATCATTCAACAAAGAGCAGAATTCGTATTTCATTTTTGTATTTGGCATCCTAGACTCAACTCTTTTTGGAGTAACCCCTTTATTTCTGTTAGAACTGGTTACGTTCATCTGCAATATTTAAGGATGACAATGTGCAGTGATTTGAATTTCTGCTAATTCTTCCTCCTGATTTAGAGAATTTTTTACCTTCTATTTCTTAGCTGTCCAGAGTGTCTTTTTAACTTCTGATACTTTTTCTCACTATGCTCATGTGTTTTCTTCCCTAGTTTCTACATTTTTTACCAACCATTGCAATATACTTGCCCATCCGTTTATCTTTGGAAAGAAAACCTCCTAAGCTGCAGGGAGTTGGCAGTCTCTGCTTCTTGTGGACAGAGATCCTGAGATATGGCTTGGGTAGAAAAGGCAGATGGACAGCAATATTGACTGCTCCTATGTGTTTTTTATCTATATACAAGTACTATTAGGAGCTCCCAAAAGTGATGAGGGATCTCTAACAGCTGTCTCAGCTCTCAGCTCATGAGAAACCCTCTGCTTCCTCTATATGTCCTCCTGCACAATCAGTAGGAAAGGCTAAGGAACCAAACTTGGCAATGGACTTGTAGCAGTTTCTGCAAGTTTTACAGTGGGAAGTATTTGCTTATACTGCTGTTCTAGATTCATGCTCTGGGCACATCTACATGTAATACTTACTTTTTAAGATACTATTTCCAATTCTGTCTATCAGGACTGGGAATCAATCTGAGAAGGTCCAGGTCTACTACTAGTAAAATCCCTGCAGAGAGAAGAATCAGCTGCATTCATTCCCTGAATAACTGTTTGCTCAGTGCATGCTTTCTTCTCACCCT